GAGACTTATGGTCGCACCAGATGAGTTATGTCTGAGGCGTAACTCATAGAGTAATTTCGGATAGGGTACACCGTCTGCTCGTCACGCTATCTTATTTTCGGCCGGATAGATTCGTGCAACTTCTTAGTCTAATACCGATCCTAATCTTACTCTTATACTATCTAGTCTCAGGTTGTTTAACTAGTCTCTGCTAGGCTCAATAGATCTAGGGTATACTGGTTTATTGCGGCTGCTGAAGTGCTCGGGAGAGTCCAACTAATTTCTAAGTTAAATTCAAATCTCTCTGGTGCTGAAATTACAAGTAACTTCAGCACTTACAAATAAGTGGGTTGTTAGTTAGATGGATCATGATTGGTTAATATTAAATACTTTACATTGGTAAAACATTTAATTTATCCAATCATAAAATATAGTTTAGATCAGGTTCCACTTCAATGTCATGCCAAAACATGCGAAAAAAGTGTTAAATTTTCAGAACCATCTAAATCTTTTGTTTTGTTGTTCTCATTGTTTAAACAATAATTTACGGAAGATCTAGAGCTCTGATTTCTTTTTAATTTTGTAAACTTGCTCAATACGTTGCACACACGTCTAGATTTTTTATCTATTCGTAGAATTTGAACAAAAATTTTTTTTTTACTTTTTATCATTTCATTACAATCATCATTTCAGTGCAAAAGCTTGAACTTGAAAAGAAGCTGCTTTCATTTTGACCAAATGCAATAGGCGTGGTTAGGTTTGCCTCCTAAATCTTAAACCAATTGGTCATTAATTTAACATCGTTGACCGGCTTGCAAGGTTTTCTTTGAGTGGGGGCGAATGCTTTGATTGAAATTTCAATTTTTGTTCTCTGCTAAGAGTTCAATAGTTTTACCAAGTTCATGACTAAAAGCAAGTTGCGGATTTAGGGAGGCGGAGCGGGGGGCAGACGCTTCTCCCCCTTCAGGTATTCGACCCCCTGCCGACCAAAAGGGTCCCTCTTTGTACTATTATCAGATATCCATTTTTGGTGACGGACCCTAAAATTTTTCTAAAGGCGCCTTTGGAGCCAATATAAACTAATTTTGAGGGGGGGAGCGCACGCCAAAAAAAACGCAATTTTTTGGTAAAAATTTTCAAAAAAGTGCCTAAAAACGCCCTTTTTGGCCTGTTTTTTCAAAACTTTGCCTGCGGCGCAGACATTTTGGCCCAAACAGGGTCTTTGTAGTGCTTGGGGAGAGCTCAGAAAATCAATTTGAAAATCCCCCTCCCCCCTCACGAGAAAATCCTAGATCCGCCCCTGACTTAAGCGAAAAATATTTCTCTTTTAATTACCACACTTGAGGAAAAATATAACTCCAACTTGTTTTTTGCTCCAAAATTTTCCTAGTTGAGTTTAACTGGGTGATGATCATTCAAGAAAAATAACTGAACAGCCAGAAATGTTTCGAATTCTGAAATGTTCAAAACAAGCCGGGTTGTTTTGTCTAACAGATAATTAGTTCTGTTCTCAGGAAGTGAAAACTTTGCAACTTCGACTCGCATAGAATAGATGTCTAACGTCTGCGTTTCATACTCGTTGATTGGCTGATGGTGTCAACGAATTTTTTTGAGTTCTGGTTCTGAGTTATGGAGGAAGATTTCGCGATAAGATCTTTTTTCAATATTAGGTCAGCGGTCTTTCTGTTCATGAAGGATCCATGGTTGCTTTGATTAATAATCGTTTCGATCTTTTAACTTCTTACTTCTGAGGGGAATCAGGACATAGTCGTTTTGTTCACTGTCGGGTCATGGAAGTTGCAAACTAATTCTTCCTGCTCTGCATCCAAGTTGGCTACTTGAGTACTGATAAAAGAATTGTTAAATTAGTCTTTCTCACGGTATCTTCTGCTTGTGACTCCTCGTGCAGGTGATATGGCATTAAGGTCTGATGTATGTTTGTTTCCACAAAAAAAACATGGTTTAGTCTGACTTTTGGTCTGACTTGAATGCGGTTTTGCGTTGAAATTTGCTCTCCCCAATGATCTGTTCATCTAAATGCGTACAGTTTTTCTAGTATCTATCGATATTTACAGCTCTTATTTTACCCAAAATAGGTTTAAAAAATTGATAAAATTTGAGGAATTATGTGCTGTTGACGGTTTTGTTTCTGGTTGGTATTTGCTTTGATTTATCCTTTTTTTTGTATGATATCAGAATTTTATTACTCCTTAAGAGTTATAGAATTGGATTCCTTCGATTAATTATTTCTTTCTGATTTAAAAAATAAATTCACAGATCATATGAAAATCTGACTAAGTTTAGACTTACTTGTGCAATTGTTGCAGGAATCTGTTCTTTCTTTCGTTTCCCAAGGCAAAGAATATATGAGATTAGTTCTGTGAGTCTGCTTCATGATTCATTAAAGTAGTTATTCGGGCTTATTTTGTGCCCCTCTTTACGCCGCTCTTTGTTCTATTTGGTCGTTTTCCGGATAGCTGGCTGCATTGTTTTCAGCATTTCTTCATTGGTTTCGGTCGTAGAATCTGATGATGGAACGGTTTCGGGCTTTGGTGGTGGATCGTTAAATAATTCGGTTGGCTCTGGCAATAAATTTTAGAACTCGCAATTGTCCTTGAGTGATCTAGAAAGGAGAGTTGGCCAACCCAGAACTCCCTAAGACATGGAGTTTCGATCGACGGTTTTTTCCCGAACAAAAAAATCTCCAAGCAGTTCCGTCCGGTCTTTCGAAGAAGAAACTGCTAGCTGAACTTTGTGATAACTACTAAAACCCTGGCTATAACTAAATCGTAAAAATAAATTAATAATAGCGAAATAGATATGTTCCATGGAGGTATCAATTGAATAAATGTGGAGAGCTAAAGTCAGCACCGTTAAAGTCAGCACCATTTTAACCCATATCAGCCTAAACAAAATTGGCAGATGTGTTTTTTATAATATTGTTTTGTTCAATGGCTAGCAATAAAATAGTCATTGACCTTCAATTATGAACTTTAGGTAGAGAAATGACTTCAACCGCACATCATTTGTTTTTTTTACTAAAAATAAATCAGTTTAAAATCGATTTGATTCTCTTAAAACCTTTGTTTTGCCGATGCGGGCGAAGCTCATTGATATCACAGAGACAAAGCTGCGCTTCCCAAACACTTGTGAGAAAACTTCAAAAAGCAGCTCTGGGAACTGCAAGAAGAAAAAGTATAAATAAGCCTCGAGTTAGTAAAAAAAATCGGATATGTCTGGGAGTCGAACATACCCCGCACCATGGTTTCATGGGTAATAATCGAGTATAATCGATTTTCGTTGACTAACATGTTGCCTATATATTGTCTATATAATCGATTATCATGCCAAATTTAGACCACGTAATCGTATTTTAATCGATTATAATCGATTATTTCGGAAAAATTTATATCCATTATAATCCATTATAATCGATTATAATCTATTATTGTTTTCAATATAATGGATTTTTTGTACATAAAATCCATGAAAGTTGATTAAATTTTGTAAATAATGACTCTAGTTTTTGCAAATCTCTGCGAAACTCGAAAGAACACGTTCATCCAGGGGCAGCCAATATGTAGTAATTTTCCAAAAAAAGCCCAAAAAACAGCATTTTTGACCAGTTCCTCACGTTAACCCCCCCACCCCCCCAACGTACCCCCCCGCAACGCACCCCCACCCCAACGCCCAACGTATCCCCCCCCAGCGTACCCCATCCCCCACGTACCCACGTAGCCCCCCTCTCTCTAGTTAGAGGACATCCCCCAACTTATCTCCCCAACCCACGACGTACCCCCTCTTTCTCTAGTTAGGGGACATCTAACTGTAAAACGGGCAAGCGTGGGGGGTGACTTGGTGTGGGATCTATAGCTAACTTTTTGTAATTTTTCATAACTCGATTCAAAACAGGAAAAATTGAAATTAAGCCAGAGAACAAAATAACTAACTAACCCTAAGTTTAACAAAATTATGAAAAAATGAAAGCAACACGCAAAAATATTTGAATAAATAGATTATAATCCATTATAATCGATTAAAATGGATTATTTTTCTTTTGATAAAATTTTTTGAAATTAATCTATTATAATCCATTATAATCGATTATATTGGGATTTTATTGCTTAAAAAAATATTATCGTTATAATCCATTTTCAATCGATTATAATCGATTATTTTTGTTATTTTATAGAGACTGACAATGAAAATCCAATATAATCGATTATTATCCATAAAACTTCAGTGCGGGACGCCCTACTGTGACCTAGAGGTTATGAATCTCACGTACTAACCACTCAGCCATGGACGCTTGATTGATGTCAAACGCTAGCCACAAATAAATCAGAGAACAGATGCTATGCAATTTCCAATGCTACAGTGAAATTTCCATATAAGTGAACAATTTCAATGATTACTCTTTTTTGCGAGTTAGGTTAGGAAAAAAGAAGGTTCGTAATGATACACTACGCTGATCGACGTGTGTAAGTAGATGATGTTTTGTTACTATACAAGTATGACCGAAGGAGTTGTCAATCTGACCCTGTCGCAGTCCTGCTTGTTCTGTGTTTTCTAAACTTTGGGCAATCCTAACAGAGCTGGTAAGCCACCCCTTTTTTAAATTGCCCCTGGTCCAACTCAATGCAGGACGAACAGTGGTGGAAGGGGTCTGCTCTGTTCTGCTCTGCTAGTCTGCTCTTCTGGTATAAAAATGGCAATCTGGCATGATCAGAATTGAAGCTAGAAATAGTCATGCATGAGGCCTCGTGAACAGCTTTTATCGTAATCACTACGAGACGGACTGGGGCGTCAATATATTGTCAGACTTTGTTTTTTGTCGTAACTATAATAACCCTCGGCAAGTTTTAGTGACCTTGTACAAGCTCAAATTAATTTTACTTCGTTCTTTATCGTTACGTATGTTCTCTAAAATAAATCTAGTATTTATACCGGCGGCCAATGGCGTTGATTGAGCAATTTTTGTTGAAAAATCTGCTTATCTGAGATATTTTATGCGCTGAAAAAGAAAGACTGCTTCTCTGAAAGAATAATAGCCGGATGATGCGATTGGCTGGCGAATTGTTCTACAAAAAAGCATCTAGTGGTTTTTTCATATTAAACGCCTAAGTCCATTCTGATTTAAGATATCATCTGAAGTTTTCCTAGTTCAATTCATTCCAGTTGCTTAGCTTGTTTGCCTAATCTATTTCATTGAGTTAAAAAATTGTTATCGAATTTTTTTATTAACAAGCTGAAGTCACTTTTTTATAAAATTCGGCAGTTGAAGAACTTTTTGGAATTTGAGGAATTTTTGCTCTCGTCTCCAGTTTAGTTCATTGTTTATTTATCCTTCCCATTTTATGAGAAGGAATCGAATTGAAACTTTCCCTTTTGTGGAAGTTTGAGACTTCATAACATTTTTGTCTTCGAATCGAAATTGATTATTTTATTGAACTGTTTTTTGGAAGTATGACTACTTTTTTTGGTACATCTACAGTCATCTATGAGAATTGCTTTAAACTACTTCTCTAAAACAGTGAATGGTGCTTAACAGCATCGGACTAAAAAGACCTTTGTTCTCCTAAAGATATCCATTAGTTTCTTCGAAAACAAAGCGCAAGTTGCTTTCGATTAATCGATGCGCCATTTTCAAAAACTGAACTACTTTGCATAAGAAAACAGTTTTTGCTTCCATATTTTGAAGAAATTATTAAATGATAGCAAAATTAGACTGATCTGAACTATCGATCTATAAGAAATAGTTACCTTAATCCCAACCACTAATTTCTGAAACCTCCTTCTATCCTATGCTCAAAGTGCAGCCCTCTTTTCATGCAACCCGGGTTGAGGAATGTTTTTGTAATTAGGATTCCCACCCTGTTTTCCTTTTCGTGAATGCTCGATCACAATTCTAATACATAAGTATAGCCCGGCCATATCTTGTCCATCTAATTAGTCAAATCTCGTGCAATAAAATGTGCATCACATGTCTCAAATTTCATGTTAAAAAACACATGTTAAGCGCACCTGTTTTTTTTCTTGTCAAGTTCAAAGCAACATGTTTGAACTTGACGATATTATTTATCAAGCTGTCCAGATTGTGTATAATCTCAACGGCTTTTGTCACTTTTTCAATTTTTTATCATTAAAACAGAAACGAAATGAAACACATTTGTATTTTATTTTTATATTCGAGATTCCATTGTCCGACTTTGAGACTATTTTGGCCAATTCATGATAACTAAAATTTTCAACAATTTTCATTTTTTTTTTCATTTTTGCTTTTTAGCGCATAGCTTAAGCGGTGACTTAAATTAGCTGAGAAGTTACTCTAAATTGAGTTGAGGCATGCTATTTGATCCAAATAAAACTTTAAAAGACGCAAAGAACATCCGATTGGGGTTGGGAAGGTTTTCAAACAAAAAGAGTTCTTGCTTCAAACACCCTAAAGAACAGTCGAAACATTCAGGGTATGCCCCTACAGCCTTAAGTTACTAAAAAAGACATTTTCAAAGTCGCAGTCTAAAGACCTGCATGAACGGTTTCTTAAGTTGCAAATAAAACATAAAAGTTGGCGAAGAGGCTAAAATCAATTAATTTCTCCAGCTTTTATCGCATGTGTCGAATAGGTGAATTTGCAATTTTTTTGGTACATTTACAAATTGATTTTTTGAGGTATTATGCACTGATACATGAAAATAAGAATATAAAACTGATTGCGTTCTAGTGATGATAATTGAAGATACTAGATGATAACAGATGATTAGTTCGATGCTGTTAGCTCCTAAAGATCTTTCAAACTATTTTCTAAAGCTCTCGAAAAATGCCGAGTGCGGAGTGAGAAGTTTTTTACTTTATAATTCATAACAAACTTTTGTTTTTTCCGATTCTTCGAGTTACTCATTTAAAGTTAGTTTACTTGGTTTAAATTCGAACCATGACTCTGACAGTGAACTTGTCGTCTAACGTATCTTTCGGCGGAGTGGGCACTGGCAGTGACAGTGACAGTGACGGCGGTGGTTCGGTGGGGGGCGTGGCGGGGGGTGAATCGACTTACGACCGACTGTCCTCGTGGGACGATGCCACCTGGATCCTCACCTCCACCTTCATCATCTTCACAATGCAGAGTGGATTCGGCCTCCTAGGTAAGTTCCCAAACCCAAACTACACAAAACTACACCCCACCCGCTAAATGATTAGACATAGCACACAAATATAGCCGGTTGCTGAGTTTTCAGCACAATGTTCCGACCAAGTTCATAAAAAATCTCACTAAATTTTTTTTTTTGCAAGGCAGTGCCTTTTTTTTGCAAGGCAGTGCCGTGTTTTTGTGCGTGGTGTGATTGGAAAACCAAACAAATGCGTAGAGTTTTAGTGACTTAGACACAATGACTACAGTTGTCTCTTCAAAAAATGCTTAACGAAAAAAAATGAAACAAAGTCAGTGAAAATTTTTCTACATTTTTTCTCGTTACTGACACGTTTTAGAAAAAATTATGTCGTTCGAATCGCCATCAGAAGGGCTTTAAAATGATATATCACTCGACCCATTAATACTTTGTAGTATCAGATTTTGCATGAAAAAAAATGTACGAAAACAACTAGTTCCGAAGACAAATATTCCTCTCTATTGTCAATGAACGGAACAAAAAGATTTCGAAAATTTTGAAGCCTCAAAAATCAATTAACTCTTTATTTGCCCTCATTACACGCACAGTATTTAGCAAAACATTGACTTGCGCTTGTTTGATTTTCTGTTTGTATCGTGCGTATGAGCAACAGTTTGCAATTTGGAATATTTTAGGATTCAAAATTCGAAAGTTTTATAAAGTATGCTCCCCTGCAAATGTTTCGATGATTTACAAATTTTTTTTTTGCTTAAATATATAGTAAATTTAAAAGAAAAAAGTCAGATTTTGAAGTTTTTCTGAAAGCCAAAATTAAAAGTAAAGAAACCATTTCAAGTGCTTATTCAAATTCGTGGTTTGTTTTGTACTCTTTTTTAATCCATATTCCGCAGTTTTTTTATCATGTAGTTTTGAGAAAGATAAAAAAACATTCAGACAGCTTGAATTCTGGGAAGTTTTTCCCAAACGCTTGAATAGCGAGAGGCTCAAAGTCGAGCAAACTTTTTTCAGATACACTATCAGTATCTGATACTTCTAAGACTCCTAAGAATCGGTGTTGTGTTTTTTCCTTTTTATTTGTTAAGAAAGCATATATGCAGGCGAGGGCTATTCGTGAAAGACAAACATGTAAGAAGTATTTGGTAATGAAAATTTTTGGTAAGTATGAAAAATTTTGGTAATAACTTTGAGAATTCGATCAGCCAACAAACATTTTGAATTTTCGAGCACATGTAGCTTTTCTGTGTCGCCTAACAAAATCATTTTTTTCATAATCTTTTTGTCCACTGTTTTTTTACAAAGATTTTGAATAGTTTGAATAGCTCAAGTGTTTCGTATTTTTTTTTGCCGAGGAGACTGGTAAAACCTGTCCTCGTTGCTTGTGCATGCATTGTGTAGTTGGAAGTTGGTGTAGGTGAAAATTTTAGTTGTTAAGTCTAGTTGAGTGGTAATATCATCTGTTATGGTTGAATCGCCGTGGCGACTACGACGGTCGGGGCATCAATCTCGCTCAGATCCTTTGTTTTTTCAAATTAAGTCGAGCGTGAGGTTTTCTCGTAGAAGTGTAATGATTAGGCTCACATCTCGTTTCAAGAAAAATTTCACCATCCGAAATTGCTGTGGCTCGGCCTTCAGTTAGCACCATGTAGATTATCGCGGCTCTAAACGCGCCTTTAAGGGATTTTATCTTTAGTCAATCAGAACTAAACTATTTTTTAGATTGTAGGGTTATCAAAAAACAACAATATCTTCTCAGGTTTCAATTAGTACACTTCAGTGGAACTCTAATATAGTTGTAAAAAAGGACCTAATTTAAAACAAATCAACGGTATCAAAAGGAGGTTAATTTTTTGTGGGGTTATCTTCTTACAGAGTTATAAAATAGGGGTGTAAATAACGTTGGATTAAACAGTTGGACACCACATTTTTTTAACATTCAAATAAGTTGCTTACAAAAATGAAACTAAGAAATTGACGCTGGCTTTCTTCCGAGACACTTCTTTGTAAAATTTAATCTTATATTGAATTGAGCTATTAGCGCTGTCACCAGAGTTGAACATAATTGAGAGCACTTGCTTTACTTTTCATAAATCTGAGAACTGAGACCAATGAAAAAGACAAATCAAAATGGCAAAACCGAAATTTTTGAAAGCTACCTAAAATAATTTCAATTCGGACAAATTACAAATGAAGAAAAAATTAAAAGCCAAATTAGAAGTTTTACACGATTTACTTAAATGCTACTTATGACAAGGCCTCAGCAAGACTAGGAACGGAGCGTACAGATAATTAAGACAACAATTTTGGGTGCAGCTTTAATCGAAAGTGATAAAGCCGAAAAATGTGTAAAAAACCAACGTTTTCTCCGCTTATGAGAGGAATTTTGGTTGCTCGGAAATCAAAGTTTGCCAGTAATCTACATTTTCATCCGTATTATTTACCCCTTTCAATTTTGATCCCATTTTTTTCCGTTATGTTCAGTCAGCCTTAACTACAAAAAAACCGCGCTGAAAAAAAAACAATCGTGTTCAAGTTTTCCCCATTTTTTTAAAATTTTTAGTCCCTAATATCTTTGTGTACGAGCTGAAACAAACAACCTTTTATTAAATAGGACTGCTTCATTCCAACGTTTGAAAAAGAGAGCTAAATGAGCTAAATTAACAAGCAAATTACAGACACACGGGAAGGAGGCTCGGGTCCCGCTAGGTGCTTTTGTTTGTAACAGAGGGTGAGAATTTGTGAAACTGTTGGTTCCAATTTGCCAAAAAAAATAGGTGAATTACCCCAATTTCTAGAACATTATTCTCAGTTCTTGGCGCATTGTTGAATGATTTATTCACAGCGTTGACTGGCAGTTTCAATTTCTAAAAAGTAGTCTTGATACCCGTACCGAACGGAAGCTGCTTTTTCTAGATAGAAATTCTGTGTAGATTGTCTAGCTTAGTTTTCTCGTATTTTCCGTGCGGAAGTGATCTATTTCTTTTCTAGTCTAGAAACAAACAGTTTCTAGAAAGAAATAACCAGAAATCAATTCACTGCTCAACCGCAACGAGATAAACATGCTTCGAGTGTACACAATAACAGTAGCAATACAATTCAAACTTACACTTGTTATAACAACTGTTATTCTCCTAAAACTTTGTCTCCATTTTCATAATTCTTTTTTTTCGTGTTTTTTACACTTAAGTGTAAAAAACACAAAAAAAATTATGAAAATGTAAATAACGCGGCGGCTAAAGTAAAGGCTAGGAGAAAACAAAACCGAATTAGAGTCAAGTCGACGACCATTAAAACGAAGCAAAGTAATGGAAAAAAAGGATACGAATGTTCCGCTTATAAAATTATGGAACTTTGAAAAAAATCACAGATGGAAAACGAGCTTAGCTTAGTCAAGAATGTAACAGAAAACATGCGTCACAAGCACTCAAATATCATGTGCCACCAAGGTTGGAAGCGCAACATGTTATCAAGAACGGAAATACGAACCCAGAACTAAATGAGATTGTAATAAACCAAGAGGATGTAACCAATCAATAAAAGAACTTTTCTATGAAAAATTGATTTCGATACTACGATCAAAATTGAGGCGTCGCTGTGTTATTTTGTTGAATGCTACGGAAAAGAAGAACAGAGGAGTAATAAGATCAAACTTTCGACGACACGAGGCTTCACGACGAGGGGTTGTGCTTAGAGAGGAAATATTATTTGACATGAAGGGCTCCAAATTTAGAAAAGGGAGTTAGAACTGGGAAAAATGAAGAAAAAAACATATTGAAAGGATCGCCAACAGCGTTTAAGAAAGATGATAATTCGAAAAGGACAAAAACTTGGCAAAAAATGAAACTAAAATAGAGAAAGTGGCTTATGCTCACTATATATTCTGAACGGTTTGAGAGGAAAGCTCGGCTAATTCAAGCATCGACGCTATGTCCCGAGTCGAAGTCCCAGACACATGTCCAGACTTTCGCGACAAAATTTTGGCATGTCGAGACTTTCCAGACCAAAATTAGGCAAGTCCAGACTTTCGCAACCAAAATCTGGCTTTTGCAGACTTTCGCGACCATGATGATGATCCGTCGCGACTTTCGCGACCGAAGCGGAGGTGGTGCGACCGAAACATCGCGACTCATATTTGTTATGTCCAGACTCTCGCGACCAAAAAACTCGGCGCGACTCCAGGTAGAAAAATCACGAGGCAGAGCGAACATAAAAGGAAAGAACTCATTAGAACGACTAGGACTATGGAAACAATCAGAGAAATATAATGGAGGTGAGAAAAGGGTTAGAAAGGAAATACCATCAGAAATTTTTTGACGAAAAAAATTGACTCGGAGGAAAACACTTGAGAGATGGGCGAGGAGCAAAAAAGTTCAAGACAGCGTGCATAACAAACATTAACGAGCAGTATCGTAAGAAGAAGAACGAAAGATGGAATTGAATGGCAAGCCAGACCCAAGAACGTGATATTCAGTGAAACCAGAAAGGCTAGATTTCAAGAAGAAAATAGGATGAGAAAAAGTAAATCCTCTCAAGGACATGAGACAGAAACAGCCAATACAAAGAAAAGACGAAAAATGCCGCAAAAAGAATTGCAAAAAGAAAGCGAAAGCAAAAGAGCGACGGAAAACTGATCAATGTTGGAGACTAGTTGAGTCAAAAACCCAGCGATGAGCGATTCGGCGTAAACGCGAAAGCTTGAAACTTGATGTATGTTTCGTAAACCATTCATTCGCAATCTCGACTGAGTAGCTGAAAATATAAACAGAAATAGGCAGACCATTTTTTGTAGAAACTGTACTGTAATTTCACGTTTTCATCTCCACTTTGGTAAAACTTTACGGCATCAAATTTTGGTCAATTGAAGGAGCACCAGTATATAGTAAATTGAGCGAAAACGAACGCCACAAATCGCGATTTGTTGGACAAAATTTTCAAAACGCGTTAAAAAACTTTTTTATGCTAATTTTTTACAAAAAAATGTTACAAAATGGTTCATTATAGCTGAAATACTGAATGAGCGCTTTTTGTGCTAACTAATTCAACTCTAAACGACGATTTGCCGACTGTGCTTTTAGCTGAAAAAAACTGGCTGAAGATGAGACGCACTTGGTTAAATTTGTGGAAAATTTTTTTCTGAAACAACATTTGAGAAGTCAGCCGTAGCTTTTTTGCTTCGCTGACTTTTCAACTGTTGTTTCAGAAATTATTTTCGTGAATTCTTGCAAGAACACTCTTTCAGCTGTCTGTTGGGAATGCTTTTCTTTTTCTTTCACTCTTGGCTTTCATGTTTTTCTGTTTCCTGCTGACCAGAAGGTAAGGGGCGGGGAGGCGAGCATGTCAGAGATTGGGAAGTTTGTTGTCGTTAAGCGCGCTCTTTCTGTTGGGCCATTGCGTTAGTTGCTGTCTGCGGTAAATAACCTTAAGTTAACCGAGGTTGATCACAAATTATTGAATGCTTCCATCTTTATTGGTAATTAGGTGTTCTTAGAAATTGTCTAATTTGCCCTTATTCCTTTACTTCCTCTAGTATCATACTCTCAACTACCCAACCGTGTAATCAGTAATCAGTCTATCTAGCCTATAGTTATCTGCCGTCAGTCATTCATTTGAACTTGTTCTCAACTGTTTGCGAGTCGTTTGTTTTGCTGCTTTTGTCGTTTTGCTTGTTAATAAAGGGGCTAAAGTCTCAAGTTCTCAATCAAAAGGTCGGCAGTTTGAGCACCACCATGGTTTGTACTCGGTGCTTCAAACCGACCCAACTTTATAAAAACCTCAAGCAGATACTTTTTTTAATTTCGCTGATTGACTTCCATGCAAAAAATGCCCATCATATAATTTCATGTATGGAGTCTATGGAAAAGCTTATCATACAACTTTCATGGAAGAAAATTGTGTGACAAGCATTTTTTCAATCGAAATTTTTTTAAGGAAAACTATCTTAAATTCCTTACTAGGCCAAACTGCATTGGATATGCGCACAATTTTTTGTCTGTACGTTTCTGGATTCCAAAGACAAGTCTTTAAACATGTAGTGGATTCCACCTACAAAATTTCCCTGGATTCCGCGTACAAATACTTGTAACGTAAATTTTGTCGGCACGTTAATTTTGTTGCGGATTCCTCAACGAGCGAATTTAGATCGTTATTCCGGACTCCTCAAATGTAAGCTGATTCCGCAAGCGTAAATGGATTCGCAAATTTATCTAACATGTAAACCTACATGGATTCCGCAAACTTATCCTCAAAGGTAAGCGGATTCCGTAAACGTAAATAGATTGCGCAAATTTATCTAATATTGCGGGTTCAATGGAGACAACAGGTAGTGGGCAGCTCCCTTGCATTAGCGGCCACTCACAAAACTGTTTACACAAAAATTATTGCCCACGGAAAAGTCACATTTTTGATTGTTTGTCGGTTTTTAATTTTTTTGAATTATCTCAAAATCTACATTACAAAATCTGAGGTTTTGCGTTCAATTGCCCGAGTAATTTTGACACCAAAGTTATGGCCCTCGGAAACGTCAAAACTTTCTTTTTCAATAGTTTTTTTGAAGTTTTTGATTTTTCTTGAAAATGATTATCCCAAATCTGAGATTTTGGACAATTGCAGTTACAGGGTGCGTGGATCCTTGCTGAACAAGTGACTACGCCCTAGTATTTCACACAAAAAAACTATGATTCCTGGAAATGTAAATTTTTTTGATTTATTGACCGTTTTTTGGATATTTCTCGCAAATACTGCCAAATCTGATATCAAATCTTCAATCGAAATAACAGGTTCTTGACAACCTGCTTCTATAAATGACTATGCCCTGTTTGCTTTAGAAAAAAGTTATGGCCTTCAAACAATTCAAAGATTTGAACCTTCGACAGTTTTTTGGGAAAGTTTAAACTTTACGCGAAAATTACTGTGCCAATTATCAGGTTGTATTCAGTCCTTAAACCTGGTTTTGGGAATTTTCTCTGCTTAAACGGCCGTTATGTAAACATTATGTGAAAAAAAATATGGATTGTGGAAAATCTTTTGTCCGCCGTTTTTTCTGGTTTTTTTAAAATTTGAAAATCAAATCTCAGATGAAAATTTCAATTGAAAGAACCGGTTGCGATAAATGTTCCTACCGAAGCGGTGACTACTTGGGAAAATTTCTCTCCTTGGGAAAAATGATTATCTCAAATTTTTCTAATCTTCTCACTTATTGTAGTAGCGAAACAACTAAGGTTTAGATTAAAGTCAAAATTTTGAAATCACACTTTTCATGCGAGACATAAGAAAATTTTGGTTCACCTAGTTTTCTAATGTTAGTGTTGTATCGCAAATGTTGCGAAGCTCCGTTTCGCCTCTCTGGTTTGTTTTTGAGTTGATTAGGGCTTAGAATAAGCATGTTGAGTTTTTCAGTGGGTGTAATTGTGTGTGTGTGTTGTTTTTCAGAGAGTGGGTCTGTGAGTAAGAAGAATGAGTCCAACATCATGGTGAAGAACATAGTGGACGTGGTGTTCGGGGGACTGTCCTACTGGATGTTCGGCTATGGACTCAGCTTCGGCCCCAAATCTCTCTATGGAGTAGTGGCAGTTGGGGATTTCTTTGTCACCACCAGCGAGCTCGAACTCATAGGCAGGGCTGCCAAATAAGCTTCACTTAAACATTAACATCTGTATCTCAACTAGTCTGCACCTTATATTTATATGAAAAAAAAATATCAGTTTTTGCCTTACAATTAAAATAATTTTTTCGTCTCAAAATTTTTGCTAAATTAGAATAACCTAAATAGACGGACCCTTAGCTCCTACATTTTGTTTTAAGAAAAAAACAACAAAAATTACAATTCAAAAGCCCATTTTTTGGAATCAGTCTATTAATTACAATCAGAAAAAAAGTTTTTTTGCTGTTTTTTGCAATTTGGACGCCCTGTTCTCTCTCGCCTAGGCTACAAGTACTCCAAGTTCTTTTTCCACGCCAGCTTCGCCAGCACGGCCACCACCATCGTGTCGGGTGCGATGGCGGAACGAGCCAACTTCAACTCGTACATCGTGTTCTCCTTTGTCAACACTGTCATCTACGCTCTGCCTGCCCACTGGATCTGGCACGAGGACGGCTGGCTGCACCAGCTGGGGGCAGTAGACTATGCCGGTGAGTCACCACCCCCTCCGTCGCTCTAGATGCAAGGCATGAGGGGAGTGACATTAATTTTATCCCTAAACCTTCAAAATACAGATATAAAAGGGAACTTCCGGTGTATTTTGCAATATACGTTCCAATACTCTTTGAAAGTACCAGGGTTTGGTAACATATTGGCAACCAGAATATAATAATAACTAAGTTTCCAAGTATATCCAAACAAATACAGTTGGGAGAACTTAAGGATTATCTCACTGCCATCTTCGGTTTTTATTGCCCTCATTTTAACCCAGCCGCCAGGAAACCACTCGAATTATCAACCACTTAAACCATCAGTTTTACGGAGTTCTTCCTCGAACATGAAAGTGTCATGGTTATTAAATTAGTTCACTGTCCATTTCAGTTCTATTCTTCTTGTTGTAGTGCTAACTGGTAACTAACTTTGGTTGACCTCCATCTAGTTCATTTTCTCCGACTAACCTTATGCATTTCAGCCCTTCATTTATCTATCTGAAATTTAAACTATCGTTAACTCTTTCTTGACATGGCGCAGCCAGCAGTTCAAATTGGGGCGGGGGGGAGAACCCAGTAGGAATAACGTCGTTCTGGCCTCCCAAACTGGCTTAACCGCCAATGCTATGGGAGTTTTGGTTTAACGGTTTTCAAAGGGGAATATGGCCAAACATGGGATTAACCCGAAAAACTTCTACTATGCGAGTACGCTGACCACAGCGCAAGTTGCGGCATTACCGGCAGATGTAAGCGGGAGAAACCGACTGGAGGCGGAACAGACCTTCATATCGAACTTATACTTATTCCTTGGGGAAAAAAGGACAAGATAAAATCCACAGGCGTAGACCACCACATCTGGAACTAGAAGCGACCCGTTTTTCAAGGGTCATCGATGCTAGAGAAACAGAGTTCAAGAAGGAAAGGAACGACACGTTCGAGACGTTGCAATTGCTAGCAAGAAAGCAACACATCGGGGAATCGTTGTAACAATCCCATTCGGTCTTAAATGGAATAGCAGCACGATGCAATTTTGGGACATTGGAGACAAGGCTCTTGAGAGGCCATCATTGTTAACATGAACAACCGAGAAGCTCAGAACGAATTATGCAGATCGACAAAAACATCCGAGGAGGTGTATCGAACAGCGTTATCCTACGAATGAGGAGACAAGTACGCGAAAAAGTATGTATCGAAAACTGGAGGAGCGACATCGATCAACGCAAACGGTGGAGCGTTCCAGATCAAAATGGAACCGGTGGGAGCGATCCGAGCCGTACCAGAATAGCAGACAAACCGGACGAGGACCGTACCGTCCTGGTTTTGCACCAGAGCATATGACGAGATGTCCAGCAAGAAGCCCAACCTGCAATTTCTGCCGGAAAACAGGACACTATGACAAAACAATGTGGAGAAATGTGGATATCGAGTGCGCCCGGCAGTAGACTAATCCAAAGACAAGAAGAGCAAGATATGAGCAAATCCGGGGACAAGGAGGATATCCACTCACAGCAAAGAAAACTTGTTCGGCTGGGTCAACACACCCGAGGATAGACCTGAATCATTGGACTCGGACAGTTCGGCGGATTACGCTGTCATGGTCATTCATTCAAGAAAGGAAGTCGAACTAACATTAACAGGTGCAAAACTACCGGCAAAAGTCAACGGGAAACAAACAAACGTGACGTGTGGATACACAGCGGCTCGCCATTTTGAATGTTTACCATCGAGGAGTTTAGAAGGACACTGGTCGCCGCAGGTGTGAAGATAAACGAGTTGCATCCAGAGGACAACAAATTCCGGGATTATGGGAACAACGCCCTACACCTACTCGGGACGATGTCAGTACGGCTGGAGAGATAAACGGTTGGGTCGTCGAGGCCAAAATCCAATTAATAGGAGGAAACAGACCGTCTGCTGTTGGAAGGGTCCCAATGTCTAGCTTTGGGTTGCAGCTGATTCAAAACACAACGGGGAAGAACGTGATGTCCATCCAGGAGTAGTGAGACGTTGCAAAGACACCTGGGGCAGAATCCCGCGGGACCAATGGCAACATTATTTTAGTAATCAACTTAACAATTTTTTTCGCCGAAACGATAAAATAAAAAACTGCAGATACAAGCAGAGTTTTTCGAAAAGCTAATCCCAGTCCAGCAAAAGAATGAAGGATCCCATTAACTGTTCAAAAAAGTTGAAAAAGGAATTAGCAAACTTTTGAAATAAGGACACATTGAAAAACTAGAAGACTGTTTTGTTAAGTTTTCGTATCACGAATTGTAACTGCAGTGTAGAAAAACGGGTCTGTAAAACTAGCATTGGAATCAAGAGAACTAAATAAGCGAAAGCATTTGAATAAAAATCAAGTGGCAAACTTCGAGGAATTGATAAATGCGGTAGAGTAAATCATAAGCGAAAAAATGCGAGAAACATATATTTCTCAACGATGGACCTAACATACGCAAACGGACACCTACAGCTCATCATGAAAACGAGGGAACCGTGCAATTTTTTATTTGTTGGAAGTCAATCGACAGGGAGGTATAGGCTTGAGACCAGTGTACGGTTTAACGATGATGCCTGCGGAATTCCAGAGAGTAGTGTTTGCAATCCTATCAGAGTTTCCACCAGAGGCAGACGCATTTCTAGATGACATACTGATTGTAAATAAAGGCAGCAAGATTGAACACATATCGGCGATCGACAAGATTTTGAGAAATTTTGATTAGGAAAATATGTCATTAAAATTTACAAAGAGGAAACTCGCTGAAAGTGAATGCTAATGGCTCGGTCATAAAAGTACTCCTGCGGGCGTATCTCCGCTTGTCTAAAGGACAGAACCAATGGAATCTTTGAAGGCGCTTCGCACCTTGTCACAGCTTTGATCTCTTATGGGCCCAACACACAGCCTACACAAGTATCTGCCAGCATTTACGAATATTCAGCCCCGTTACGAACCTCCCATAGTCGAACAATGAATATCTATGGAAACCGGAGTGCCAAACAGCGTTAGAGAATCTGAAAGAGCAGGTTTTGAACAGAGTCGAACTACGGCACTTCGACATACATATACTATTCTTATCCGAATAGTTTGCGACGCCAGCCACAATGGACTTTGTGCCGTACTCGAGCAATTGGGCTCCGACGGTTGAAGGCCAATATCAGTCGCGTCACGTTACCTGGACGATGCCGAGAAAAAGAACTCGAATAATTATTTAGAAATGTTAGCAGTCGTGTCGGGCCGATTATTTCAGCAACTACGTATTGGGAAGTAAACTCTTGATTAAAACAAATCACAAAGCAATGGTCTCGCTGTTGGATGGAAACAAGAAAAAGAATTAAACTCTGTTCAAACGACTTACCTGGTGGTTAGACCGTCTTGTTTCCTTTGACTTTCAAAAACAGCATAAGCCTGAGGCAAAAACAAGCTTCGCAGATTACTTCTCTAAAAATCCGAGCTCGAAAACTTAGTCGGTTAGCAGATACGATAGCTAGCATGTTTACGGCTCGAAAATCAACTGAATTCGCTTGGTGGAGGGCAGCAATACATGCGATGGAAAATGGACTAATTACAGTCCAGCAATTTGCATGACCGGAAGCTCAAATGATGAATATGCAAACTTAGTTCGGGCAATTATTGATCTTACTTTCAGTAATACAGAAAAATATCGAAAAAACAAAGAAATCCACAAGAATTTTCAAACTCATACCACAGAAGTCAATACTTATACTAGATACATCAGAATCTAAACTTCTTCTGCCTTTCCGGGCAAAAATTATCCGCTGGTTAAACTTGAAAACTTCCACAATTCCGCCTGATTGAAAAACTTTAAATAAGCAAAGCAAGCTTCCAGAGCTATTCAATTTTAGATTTATTGAACCCCAATATCGTGCAGACTCCCAATCAGAAGCATTTATAAGAATGATTGAATGCAAATAACCTGAAATACAGAACAAAAATTTACGCAATGCGCGAGTTTAACGCGCGGTAGACTCATGATTTTCAATTAAAAGACGAGAATCTGGTGACGAGAAAAGGCGAGATGGACGAGAAGCTGGTGACTCTGAAATCCATATATGTAGCGGTGAACTATAGATAACACTATTATCATCATGGAGTGTCCCACATAAACTAGGCGGCCAAAAATATATATTGTAAGCGTACATATATCGCAGCTTTGCATCAATAGCGGAAAATTGTCGAGAGTGTGCACTAGCCGGTATGAACTTGAGAAAATTGTGCTCAAATTGAACGTGGGGAAAATAACCGAATCAAAAAAACCAAAAGAATCAATGCAGTTAGATTTCTGGGGGCTGATCAACTGCCGAAATGAATCCAAAAATTATCTTCTTCTAGCGGTAGACCGGTTCTCAAAATGGCCATTGGTCATGATTTGTAGTTCAAATGAGTATGATAAAACCTTAAAATCTCTGAAAAATTATCTAAACACCCAGAGCGAACAGTGACAGATCCATCTCGATCAAGGGACAATTTTCGAAAGATGTTAAATACTGTTGTAACGAAATGGAATTGAGATAATCCCATCACCTCTGAACAATCTCCGAACAACGGGATGCGTCAAACGAACAATTGATAGTTTGAAGAACTCAGAGTTTATTATCGCTCGAGAAAAAAAACCGAAACCAATGGAGAAAATGCCTGAAAAGGTTCTCTGAGTTCTAAATTTTTCAAAAAATGCCACGCTAAAATCATCGCCATTTGAAGCTCACTGCGGTCGGGAGCCAAATAGGTTTCAAGGAAGCCGTCACTAATGAATCTAAACTAGGCTAGAGTAAAACGTTCAAACTATTCTTGTTTAGATGAACGAGACCCAGTGGCGCAAAGGATGCCTCACCCGGCAGATACGAACTGGAAGGTCTGATCTGATAATGTCCACAATATCAAGAACAGACACCACCCGATAAGACTGGCGGAAGACCAGCTGAATAAACAGAACGGAGAATTGGCAATCGGGCTAGAAGGGGGATCATCGGCGTCGACCTTG